GGGGGGGGGAGGGGAGAAAGGTGGAGATGGGCACATGTTTGGGGTGTCAGAAAGGGCAGCTCGCAAGGTCACGAAGGGGAGTGGCCAAAAGAGGGAGGAGATCCGGCCTTTGGCTGGCGCAGGTTGCGGACGCACAACGCCCCCCAGCTGGCCAAGGCCATCTTTGAGGATCCAATTCAGCGTGGCCGCCAATGGCAAGACCGCGTCCTGTGGGATGTCGATGGCATTCGTGCTGCCGGTCAGGCCCATGGCAAAGAGAAGTGCCTGCATCGAGAGCACTGTCACAGGTGGGCCGAGTGCCCATGGCCAGGCAGGAAAGCATGTCAATCGGCAAACAGTGCCAACATGTGTGTGTGTGTGTGTGTGCGTGTGTGCGTGCGTGTGCGTGTGTAAGTGAGTGAGTGTGTATGCGCGAGCAGAGGAGGGCGGCGAGGCGCACCGCCCGTGGCGGCACTGGCAACTGTGTGGCCAAACTGCCAGCTACTAAACTCCCAATAGAAGGGAGCCAGGCCTTGGGGATATGCCTCGGGCAGCAGCAAGCGCCGTAGGGTGCGCATCGACCTGGCCGACCATTCGTCCGGCCGGAGCAGAGCCCGGCGACCGGGCAGGTCATTGACATTAACCGGGGCCATGCTGCCACATGGGGCCCGGGCGGCTGGTTGGCCGCCGGAAAAGCGCGCCTGGCGCACGGTCACCGGCTGCTCGGGCAAGCCGGTCGGCGCCGACGGCGGCGTCGGTGCCAGTGAGGCGAGGGCACGCGCGGCTACCGGCCGAATGTCGGCAAGGCGCACCGCGCGGCCAGCCAGCAACATCATACTGACCTCGGGGGGGGGAGGGGGGGGGGGGGGGGGGGGGGGCTAGTGTCATGCTGGAGAGGGGCCCGGGGGGAGCCCCGGTGTGTGGAGCCCACCCCACCAAGGCACGACCATGCGCCGGGCTCGGGGGCCTCCCATCACCAAAGGAGGCTGTCACGGCCTGTGGAAGGGGGCGGGGACGGTACACCCCGACGTC